GCCGCCTCCCTGCCTCTCTGCAGGTCCCCTGCTTCCGCCCTCCCCCACTCCTGCCATCCCCTCCCCCCAACCGGCACCCTCTGAGCTTGGCTTTGCGGAGCCAGAGAAACCCCTTCATCCCTGGCCTCACCCCTCAGCCCCCTCCCGGGTGAGCAAATGAGCGCCTGTGCCTTTAAGACACCCTCCCGCCCCACCCCCAGCAAAGTTAATCAGCTGATGGGGCTATTAAAAGCAGGTGCAAAGGGGCATCTCCTGGAGAGGCGAGGTGGGGGGAGGGGAGGTCTTGGTCTTAGTTTAAAGGGGTGGGTCAGTGGGCTCCCAGGGTTCTGTATCCTGGACTGTAAGGGGTCCTTTTGAGCACCCCCCCTTGCAGAGCTGGACACCCTGCCTGGCTCTCTGCACCCCTGGGAGTGGGGGGGGGTCTCCCTATTGCCCACGGAGACTCATCCTGCTTCCCTGCCTGACCCGCTGGCCAGGGCGATGGGAGTGGGCCCAAGGCCGAGCTGGGTGGAAGGGGCTCTGTGTCTCCCGCCTGCGTCCTGCTGATGCCCTTGGGCATGTCTGTGCCCGGCTTCCCCTCTGGAGCCTTGGTGTCAGCATGTCGCAGAAACTGGGGGGGCCAGAGGAGTGAGACACGGGCCCTTCCCCTCTAGGAGATACTGGATCCGGTCTGGCCCCACAGAAGGCGAGGGGCTGGCTCCAGGGGGTCAGGAATGGGATCAGGGCTCCCCCCCGGCCAGGGGTGCCAGTGCTGCTCTAGCCCCACACGGCAGGCTGGCGGCTGACGCGATGGGGGGCAGGGAATGGGTTATGGGGCCTCTCCCCCTCCGTGGGCTGGAGGAGGCAGTGACTGTGGGCTCAGGCCCCAGAGCTGGGCCCTAGATCCTGAGATGGGGACTGTCTGGGTCAGGCCAGGGCCAGCTGGGGGTCAGACACCTGAGCCTCCCCTAAATCCACGTGACTCCTGCAATCCGGCAGCACCCTCTGGTGGCAGATGGCTGGGACGGCCGCTCTGAGTGCCTTGGTTGTGATTTTGGGGGGTGACCCGACCCTCGGGCTGGGCACCTGGGGCGGGGGTGGGGAAAGGGCTGGGGGGAGGGACTGCAGTAAGAAAAGGGAAACTGAGGCTCCACCGCTTCCAGCCGTTGCATCAATATTGATCTGGCCCTCCTTAAATTCCTGCTTTTTCACTTGGATTCTGCTTCCTTATCACCCTTCACCTGCCATAAAATGTGACTCAGCATGGGAGCTTGGCTGTCAAACAGCAGCTGTGCCACACCCCAGAGACAGCTGCAGCTCAGCTCAGGGTGAAGATCACTGTACAAACAACCGCCCTGCCCTGCCCTGCCCTGCCCTAGGGGCAGCTACATTTCCGCGTGAGGCCAAGGAGCCAGGCCAGGAATGTATAAAAAGCCACCCTGTTTCACTCCAGCGGTGGCTTCATTTCAGCCCTGTGTGATGTGATCCCTTTATAATGCGTTGCTGCTGTGCCCTGCCCCAGAGGTGGGCACATCTCACCCTGGGTGAGGGATCCCCGTGTAAACAGCCGTCGTGCCCTAACCCAGAGGTGGCTGCACTTCAGGGCTAGGCCGGAGGGCCCAGTATAAACAGTCACGCCCTGCCCCAGTGCGGACCATCAGCCGGTGTGGAAAGGCCTTGGCGTGGGAAATGCTCAGCTCCCCACCCCCCCCAACCTGGACACTTTAAAAACAAACAAAGGAGCCACTTCCCTGCTTCCCTATGATTGCCTGGGCGGAGAGAAGGAAAATCCACCTTAAAGGAACCAGCCCAGCTAGTCCAAGGCCCTCCTTTGCCAGGGGTTGATTGGCTGTCCCACCAGTCACTCCAGCTCCCATGTGGGCTGCCAGGAAAAGTTAGATCCAGGGAAAGTTGGCTGGTCCCTGCCCTCGCTCAGTGGGGGGATCCCGGCGAGGCCTGACGGCATGAGAGATGGGCTCTCAGAGCTCCCACCCATCCGCGATCCCCAATCTGGAGCAGATCATGCAGGAGACGGGCTGTAAGGGACCTGCGGGGTGGGGAGGGGGTCGGGCAACCCTAAAGTTGGCAAAGGCAGGAACAAAGGGGGTGGCGGTTGCCCTGGTGCCCCGAGGCTGCAGGCCAGGTGGGGCAGGGCCCCTGCGCTGGACAGGGCTGGGCGGCCTCGTAGCACTGGCCCCAAGGACCTGCCCTGCATGCGGTGGCCTCTGTTTGAAGGGGAGAAGAAATTGTGTGTGTGGTGCTGCCAAAGCACAGGGAGCCCAGACTCCTGGGTTCCCCCCAAACTGGGGGGAGGCAGGGCTGGGGGGAGTGGCCTCGCGCAGGGAGGGTGGGCGCCAGGACTCCTGGGTTCCCCCCAAACTGGGGGGAGGCAGGGCTGGGGGGAGTCGGCTAGCGCAGGGAGGCTGGGAGCCAGGACTCTGGCTGCAGAAAGGGTGGGGTTTTGTGATCCCAACAGCGATTGTGGAGTCAGCCAGGGCTCCTGCGTGGCTCTGCTATTGGCCAGCTGTGCAGCCCCACAGCAAGTCACCCAGTAAAAAAAAAAGGGGCCTCAGTTTCCCCCGCCTGGCCTGGCCCCTGGGGACCGTGGCCTGGGTGCTCTGTTGGTGGGTGGAGAGGAGGGGCTGACCAAGCAGACAGGTTCGCTCCCCAGACTGTTCAGGCCCATCCAGTCCCTGGTCCCTAGGGGGCAGGGAATCGCCACCCCGCAGGGTGCTCCGGCCGTTTGCCCCACGACAGCTGGGAGAAGCACCTAATGCCAGATCCACAAACACAGGGAGGCCCCTGGTGGAGAACCCTCAGAGCCCAGGGGTGGGAACTGGCCCCACAGCGCTCTGGGTGGTCTAGGCTGGGGTTCGAATCCAGCCCGGCTCGTGGGGCGTGAAAGCCGACTTGAGGGGCAGCGCTCGCGCTAGGAGCCTAGTGTGACAGGTGCCTGTGGCTGGGCTAATAGGTCCCCCAGCTGTAGGGGGGCGGAGCCAGAACTCCTGGGCTCTGTCTTCCACTCTGGAAGAAGAGTCTAGTGGTTAGAGCAGGACTCCTGGGTTCTACCCCTGGATCAGGGAGGGGAAGGGGATCTCTTGGGTAGAGCTGGGAATTGGGACCCCTGGGTTCTCGTCCCAGCTCTGGTGGAGACTGGGGTCTAGTGGTCAGAGCACCCAGCTGTAGGGGGGCGGAGCCAGAACTCCTGGGCTCTGTCTTCCACTCTGGAAGAAGAGTCTAGTGGTTAGAGCAGGACTCCTGGGTTCTACCCCTGGATCAGGGAGGGGAAGGGGATCTCTTGGGTAGAGCTGGGAATTGGGACCCCTGGGTTCTCGTCCCAGCTCTGGTGGAGACTGGGGTCTAGTGGTCAGAGCAAGGGGGGAGTCAGGACTCGTGAGTGCTCTGCCACTGATGGGCGGTGTGTCGCCTTGGGCGAATCACTTCCCAGCCTCCTGCCTCAGTTTCCCCATCTGTGAAAGGGGAGGGGAAGGGGATCTCTTGGGTAGAGCTGGGAATTGGGACCCCTGGGTTCTCGTCCCAGCTCTGGTGGAGACTGGGGTCTAGTGGTCAGAGCAAGGGGGGAGTCAGGACTCGTGAGTGCTCTGCCACTGATGGGCGGTGTGTCGCCTTGGGCGAATCACTTCCCAGCCTCCTGCCTCAGTTTCCCCATCTGTGAAAG